TAGTGATGGGTCTAAGGTAGCGTCGTTACCTTGAACCACATTGACACATTCTGTGGTGAATGTAAGAAAGTGAAAATAATATTTTGCAAACATATTATTAAAGCAAGAGGTCATTCATAACAGTGTTTGGGGTGGAAATGTAGCAGTAAATGCCTGGAGGCTACTATTTAAATCATTGCTATTTGTAAGTGTGTATCTGCTGGTTTTATCTTCCTCTTTTACAAGTCATTTTACCACGTATCAGCATTTCCTATTCTTTGCATTGATTACCTTTGTATTCTTTCTGCTGGGAATAATGGTATGTATTACCTGGGTCCTTGCTTTCAGTACTTTCTCTTTTTCTTTAAGTAACTTCTAATGAAAGTCAAATTGATTCCCAGAATGTGGCCCCTGGGGAGTTTATATACAAAAAGTCTGAATATGGCTATATATGGGGTTTGCTTCCTGATAAGAAGCTGTAGGTGCAAAAAGCTAAGATAAAAATAAGGTTTAGTAAATAAAAAATGCCACTGCTCTCATATTCAGGCTACCAGAACTTTAGATTAATGCAATGCCCTTCACATACAATTATTTGGCAGTTGCAGCTTCTTGTTAAGTATCATGCCTCCTCCAAAACATAGATTATTAATATTTATCAATTCTGACATGCCATGGGGCTCCTTTGCAGAATAATAGGGAAGCTGCCATCCACTGATAGTCCTTTGCTGTCACAGTTTAAATGGGGCTGCTTAGTTATATAATTGGGAGTTGTCGGTGGACAGCATTTTTAGTATGAAAGTCTTCACTTTTTAATTCAGCTCCTCTCTTCAGTTCTTCCTTGACCTTCCCTTTCCTTGAGTTCTAAGTTAATAAAACTTCCTTTGACATTGCACACAGAATGGGAAGAAAATTATTAGGATAAAGGATTTTATTCTCTTTTACAGACTGTAGCACTTTGATGCTGTTACGTTTTGTGACTTCCCTCTTAGTGTCTTTCCTCTGGAGTCAAATGTCCTCTGAGGCATTTGGTAATTTTAGATCATCTAACAGGAATGTCAGTTTTAGACCCAAGGCCTGTACCACTCTAAGCATTTTGTGTAAGGCCAAGTAAGGATCTCTTTATATAAAGTCATTATTTGTAGCTCTTACATTGAATAACTCAGTAGTACATCCTTTCCTTTGAATCTAGCATACTCAGTGGAACAAGATTTAATGACAGGCTGTGACACAAGCTATATTTAGTGCAGCACAGTAGAAGCAAGTCAGTGGAGTGGAGCAGTTGGTCCTGAAGACCCAGGCCCAGACTGCAAACTTTGTGGGGGTAATGCTTTGGTTTAGGTTTGCTCCCATGGGCCAAGCGCCTTTTGCAGCTGGAGTACTGTTGGGTGAGCTCTGGAAGCATATATTCCCATTCAGTCCCATCGTGCCTTCCCAGGTCGCTGCATAGCATGAGTCCAAGCAAGATATACAGGTATGATCTGGAGATAAGCCTCATAAATGCATCCCTAAGCCTGAACTTAAAATTTAAGCACATCACAGCTGCTGTATTTGTGATGCTGCAAATGCATCAAATGATCCACAGTATGCGCATGACCCTGGCTGTCATTAGTAGAAGGAAGCAACGGAGAGGGAGAGAGCTCACAACTCCTTTAGCTGCAGCCATCTCTGACTGATGTTTATCATGAGTTAAGGATGCAAAATGGGTACCCAAAATGCTTTGATTATCAACACAATCCTAGAGCTTGCTCTTTTCAGGGCCTTTCTATTGCTAAGGAATAAGCCATGTGTTTAATTTTCTCTGTATTCTCCTTTTACAGATAGGCTTCATTCCCACATTTCTGAGTAAAGAGCTAGACCTTATTTAGTAACTATGCCACTCAGCAGATCCCCTCCTATAGGTTTGTCTTTAAGAGCCTTGTAGAAGCACTGAATCACGTAGCAATTCATGACAGCTTCTTCAAAATAAGTATCCTGTATTTGCCCGCAGCAGCAGAACAAAGAAAATAGCACTGAAATACCAGAAAGTTTACACACATACTAATTATCCTTAAACCAATAGCTTTTCCTTGATCACATAGGTAAGCATTGCTTGTTTCAAAGCACCCCCTTGTGCAAGCATTGGGTAAGACAAGTTGTACAAGAAACTTCTGGCTCCCTATCACCTTGGTCACTTGGCCAGGATCTGCGTTCTTCGTGTCACCCACGCTGCTTCATTCATCACAGAGGTCTATTGTTCAGTGATTCGTGTCAAAGATCTCCTGAGGTTTCAAACTGCACTACTGAATCTGATCAAACTGGTTTAATATAGATGGAGGTAGTCCTCAAACTGTAGATTCCCTTTGTTGTGCATTTAAACACTGAAAAAATGAAATTCTCTGAAAATCTTGCATAAGTGTGGGTAAAGTCCAACTGGAATTAACTAATATGCGTCTCCAAAGTGAGCCACTGTGCAAAATCAAGAAAGTTAATATCTTGTTGGTAAGGTTTTTATAGATATTCACAGTTGGTTAAAGGTGGAAAAGTTAAAGGCTGTAAAATTAAAGGCTGTAGACATGAGTCTTCTGAAGTGACTGGTGACTTCACTCATTTCAATCTGGCGTGCCCACCTTGAGATGACTTTATAGAAAATGAATTTTTAAAAACTTACCTGTTTCTGGAATTCAAGCTCCTCTGGCAGCAGCATGAACTGGGGAACACAGATATGAAAACTGTCCAAGTCTTTAGTAATTTTGGGAAATCCTGTGCATATTTTGTAGAATTATTAACATTTCAAATTACTTAAGTAATGCTTTTGAAAGGAAACAAACACTGCTTCAAAGCCAGTGGTAACTGTATGTTTCACTTGTCTTCAATCTAACAATTACATCCACTGATTGGGCAATCTGTCAAAGGCAGTGTTCGATGAGCCATCTCCTTGATAGAGACAGTATGCTTTTATCGGGGAAAATAATTCATCTTTTTTTACTTTTTCAGGCTTAAATGTTTAATCTAACTTGGAAATGTCCAAGATTTTGGGTTACCCCAATTTTTTTTCTAAATTGCTTATGCTTTGTTTAATAAGAAAGGAAGTGTATTCGCTCTGAAGAGATATATAAGGAATTCTGCATAATTCTTGGTGTCTCAGGTATTAATTTGGTGATCATTTAATTGCATCACAAGACCTATTGGATAAAATTAAATTACAAACAGATGAGAGTAGACAATGCATTATAAAGAAGAAGCTGAGGTATCTGCAAGTGTTTTATATGCTCCCCAAGGCACCCCACATTGTTCATGCTCCAGAGAACCAAGGCAGTAGTACCAGAATACCACTTCTCACAACAGTTTCAGCAAAAAGGCACCTGACTTCACTACCTATACAATCTTTTCCATAGGATGCATATCCTATTAAACGCCCATATTCCCTGTCTCCTCAATTCCTTGTTTCTCCCAATTTACCCACATTTGGTGTGTCCCTCCTCTCTTTCCTCCTACAGTGCCATCCTGCTGGCAGAACCCCATCTCGTATTCTTGCTGCTCCCTGTATTTGCTGGCATCATGCTTCAAATGCTGCTGACAAGGCAGCAAACCAAATAGCTGATAAATCTGGGCAAGAGCATTTATTTCTTATCGACGTAACTCCTGTTCAGATATGAAGTACAGCGTTACTTGTAGGAGAATCAGTTGTGCTACGAAGTGTTACCACATCAGCTTTGAAGACAAAATGAAATTGTTAATGCATGAAATAGAGATTTTAAGTTATGATAAGTGCAGATCTAATGCCACTTTAACTGCAGAGTTGCTGCTGCTGACTCCATAAAATACATCCCATAAACAGCTGTTAATCTGTTCACTGTTTATCTTTTAACATTCATTTGTTTAGTAATCAGTTCTCATTTGTTCTACATATGGTACAGCTTCCCTTTTACAGCAGCTGCACTTCATGAACATTTGGAAGAACAAAAGTATTACAAAATATATTGTTTAAATATTCTCCTGCATTATTTTTTTGTCTGTCACCAGGGACATTTGAATAAAAAATAGAAAAAGTGGTGATTACGTTTGGAGTAAGGAAGGTGTAGGTGCTTTCCCTCAACTGGTATTTTGTAGCAGAAGTTCTTGTGACCATGCTTCACATTCAGCTTACCTCCTTTTTGCAATTAATTTTCTCTGTTTATTCCCTTTTGTGATTCACTGATGTCAACATGTCAAATTTGATTCGCTTTTTGGTTTTGCTCTGTATCATATTAGAGACCTTCAGGTAATACAGTGAGAGCATCTTGCAGACCTGATAGATGAGTGTATCTGGAGATTTTTAACAAATGTTTACAAGGTCTAAAGGTTTGTCAGGTGTTCTGGTTAAATGTGGGGATCAGTGGTCATTAAAGCTGGTTTGTAGGAAGATAATTCCCTTATGGAGTACTTGTGTGTAACTGTTTTTGTAATTCCTTTTGTTTCCAAAAATTCTGATCTTTAACCAGACCATTTTATCACAGCAAGTGTTCTCTGTTATTTATTCATGCTTCAGCCATGCCCAGCAGCCTGGACTGAATGAATAAATGGAACATATGCCTTTATAGGAAAGTATAGCTGAGACTATAGCTGTTGTACTGAAATTTTGCTAGTGTTAGGGCACGATGACAAATAGGGCAAATGCCCTTGGATTGGACAGTCCTTTGTCCTTGGTTGGTCTTTACTGGTGACCTTGGCCTGCATCGGTTGTGAGGAGTTTGCGAGTCTATCAGGTACAGCAGTGGGCAGAAGAGAAGGGCTGGTAATTAAAACTGACTGCTTGGATCAGATGCCATTCTAGAAAAGGGAAACTTCAAGTCAGTTCCACCCAATTCAGCCACAATGCCAGGTGGGTTGGGGAGATGATTAAAGAAAGAAGCAAGTAATTGCCTAAATGTGCGGAGCATTTTACAGATTTGCAGTGTCCGAAATTGTTTTCAGATGGTTGATTAATCAAAATAGCTGCAAGTGAATTTGATATGCATCACCAGGCAGGTGGGCATTGTGTGTGCAAATGTTCAGTTGGGAGAATGATGACAGAATATTTTAGAAAGGTATTTCTGCAAGGCATTTTCATTGAAAAAGGTCTGGCTGTGAGAGAAATGTGCTTGTTTCTAAATCTAACCCTACTAACAGTTTACGACCTTCTTTTTGTGTGTGTTTCTCTTTCTCTTCCAGTGCCACCTTGGGCCTTAATAGCCATAGCCATAGTTGCAGTCCTATTAATCCTTACCTGCTGCTTTTGTCTCTGTAAGAAATGCTTGTTCAAAAAGAAGAATAAGAAGAAGGGAAAGGAGAAGGGAGGAAAGAATGCTATTAACATGAAAGATGTTAAAGATTTAGGGAAAACCATGAAAGACCAGGTAAAGTACCTCTCCTTTTATTGAACTCTGAGTTGCATTTGAAGGTTTCTGTTTGCTGTGTCTAGAAAAAGTTCTTCATGTTGCCTCAGTAGTGGCTCTGTGACGAGAGGGCTGATTGGCAGCATCTCCTTAATCTTGCGGTATCTCGAAAGATGAATCTGAGTGTGGTGTCACTGATAAAGTAATTAGGCAATTTCCCTGCTCTGCTAAAAAAAAATGAGCAGGCATATAATGACTCATCTGAAAGGGGCAAATATATTGAGAGTATCGTAGTTGTCCCAGAAATGAAGCAAATGTGCACAATTTTTGCTGTCCTTATTCAAGACTTTGACCAATGTTTATATATCTTTCTGGCAGTATGTCTGAGCTTACATGATAAACAAAAGTAGCTCTGAACTCTAAATCTCTTTACACAAAAGCAAAAGTTCTTCAGAGAAAGAAACAACAGTATAAAAGAAAAAATGAGAAGTGTAGAAACAAGGGAAAACAACCAAAAAGGAAGAGCACAGGGGCATTCGACACCATAATGTGGGGAGAATTCATTTTGTACTAGAGAGGAGGAGATTAAAGATACTAGTAGCTGTAGGTCAACTGGGTAACTTGGAGGAAAAGATTAGCATAATGCCCTTTGAGCAGCATCATTTTCATAAAGGCAGAAAAACTTGTCCGTCTGATCTGCTTCGTTCAAGAGAAGCAGAAGGTTGTAGGACCTAATTTTCAGGGCCATAGACTTGACTAATATGTTCCTGAAATAAAATAAAGCTTTTTTTAACTGGGTTTTAGTATTGTTCTTCCTGGAGCAAACTGTTGAAAATAAACAAGTATAGGGAAATAAATGTGAAGTATCTGTGTGTCCTCACTGCATTGCCAGATTTCTTATGCTAAGAACAGAAAGTGCTATGTTTTTCAAACCAAAAGTGCTGAAGAAATTTAGAGGATTGCTTTGCAAAACCTCTTCAGTAGAAGCCAATAACTTGCATGGTCAAGTCTGTGCTCCCAAGAGTCCTGATGACGTTGAGCCAGAGCAGTCCAGGAGTGCTTATCCAGCCACAGAGAAAGGATAAAAGCATGGTCAGGAATAAGCAGTTCTTTCCCCAAGTTGGGATCCAGTGCAGAAGAAAGTTCGGCTGAAGGCAGGTTCATTAGAAGTACAAGCCAAAGCTGGGAACCCAAGGAGTAGGGCCAGCTGATCAGGATTCAAGGAGAGAAGCCTAGAGCACAGTAGCTAAGAAGCCCATGGAGCAGTCCAGAACAAGTGGTGAGATGCTGCTGTACAGTGATGGAGCAGCCACTGGTCTGGCTCATCAGCCAGACTTCAGAGCCCTGGAACAGGTTAGCATGCTTCTCCAGGCACATAAGATGTGGTAGAGGAAGAGCAAAATCAGGAGAGTGGATGAGGAAGCCTTAAAATTCTGATAACCAGCTGCAACTGGGCCATGTGAGTGGAGTCCAAAAGGAGCTCAAATAAGGGGCAGAAATTAATGGATATGCTTCAAAGGTACAGAGCCATCATCAGAGCTATTTCCAGTGTCCATTATCAGACAAGAGGAGAGGTTTTGTTCTTGCTTAGTAGAGAGTGTGGAAAGAAAATAACTGAAGATGCAGTTGTTTTGTTCCTGCTCATGCTGCTGAATTGCAATAGCCACTACTAAAATGTCAATTCATTAGACAATTGTTAACTTTTCTAGTCTATAAACTACACCAATAAAGTAAACCTTGGCAAACTTCATTACTTCCAAGGTATATATCAACATTTTATAGAGACCACTGTACACACTGTCATGTGAGTGAAGAAGGATTGATCTGACACAGTCAGTTTTCGTTCTCAGACCATAAGTACACGTTGCATGCTTACAGCTATTTCCCCCTCAGCAATGCATGGAAAATCAGATCATCATTTGTTGGGTTACCCTGGGCTACTGTTAGCCAACTCCTCCCACTGAACCAAGAATAATTTGGAAGAACTGTTTGGTTTTGTTCATGGGAAGATCAGGGAGAGATGGTTTTTCATGTTGTACCAACGATAACAAACTCAATACTTTGTTATAGAGCAAATAACATGCAATTTGATTGATTGATTGAAAAAGGTTGATTGATATTTATGTGGAATTTGTTCCATATCACGTAAGGCCATTGTTGTATTTACAATTTATTATGAAGTGTTTTTAATTATATTCATTAGGACCTGGATAAATGACCGTGGGAAATATTCTTGGAAAATAAGTATTTAAAATGCAAAATTACATTATGTAATTAATATTGAGTTTAATTTCTACCTTTTTCATGGGAAAATTTAATAAAAATATTAATCATGTGTCTTTTGTCTATAAAAAGCTCCATCTTTGAAATACTGCAAATAACGATAGCTTAAGATAATTCCATTCAAAATATTCAGTATAGTTATTTAAACATGCTTTTGCCCAAATAATTTGGGTTTAGCTAATATGTTTTGTTTTGCACAGTTAAGCCTAAGGAGGGTAGATTCTCAGTTGATGTAAATGTCAGGCCTTTAATAAGTGGATGGATCACCAACTCTACCACGAAGCTTCCTCTTCACTGGGATTTCAAAACCAGGCTACTTAAATGGGCCCCTTAAATTCATACCTGGGAATCTGATAGTGTACGGATTTAAAGTCCTAAAGGCATTCAATAACTTCTACCAACTTAATTACTAATTTGTGAAATTCTACCTGTCTTTTTTTTTTTTCTGTATGACTGCTTATTCTAACACTTGAATTATCAATGCAGATTTTAATATACCTCGCAGAACTCAATGCAATGCTAAATGTGGAATATTTCACTGAAGAGAATTGGACCACATTAGAGGCTCTGGCATAAAACAGGGGAATAACAAGAATGCTTTTTTGCTCTTTAAAGCAGTAAATGTTAATGTAAAAAAAAAGAAAAAGGAAGATCAAGATGTCAATGTAATGCCATTATAAAGGGCAACATAAAGTAACAAAGATCTAAAATGTTATCAAAACCCCCAAAAGTTAGTTCAGTCATTGTTAGGCCCGAACCTGCAAGTGCTAATTACCTTCTCCCTTCGTCTGAGAGTGCACAGTAGTTGATAGGCACTAGGCATCTTCCAAGACCTTAGTTCCCTGGGCACACAAAACTTGAAAAGGAGTAGCATTTGGTAAACTGAAAGGATCAGCTTCTGGAAATCTAATTTCTGTCTTAGTCTGGTTTTGTCTGTTAAAGAGAACTTTGGACCTACATGTATTAACGCTGACATGTACTTCCATGCCAAGTCATTATAGATCCATATAGCCTGACATAGTTGAAGATCCTTTTGACATAGAGAGTCAGTTCAACAGTCATACGTGTGTCTGGATATTACAGAAAGTGGAATAAAATTTTGTTCTCCATTAGAATATTTGTGTTTCAACATGTCCACTTTGCTGAATACAACTTCAAATGAGAAACTGTTTATGATATAATACAGATGATGAGCAAATGCAGTTGAGGTTAAGTGGGAGATGAGTTGAAAATAAGATTAGGATTTCAGTCTTGAAACCCATTTCTGTTGCAGGCAATGCTTACTTTTTCAGGTAGAGTATACAACTCCAAGGGCCACTGGGAGGATTAGATCCCTTCTAGGGGAGGCAAATTGTTAATTACTGTATTACTGTAAAAAGGTCATTTCTCCATGGTTATTACTAATGTTTGTGTGTGGATGTTTTAATTTTTATTTCTTCCTTCTGTGTCCTCCTTGTCTATGTTGTGTCTCATGACTGTTCTGGATTGTCACTTGCGGTAGGTTTATTTTGCTATTTGGACACAACTAGTCTAAAGCTCTGATACATATAGTCTTCTGACAACTCTGGCTCCTTAGCGGAGATTTATACGTAGTAGCTTTGATACACACATCAAGAGGCTGAACTAAATTGATTTGGGGTTTTTTTGGTTGCGTATGTATGTAGAGGAAGGCAAAAGAAAACAGGTTGTCATTCTTTCTGTAGTTAAAATATTACGTCAAACTGTACTAGAAAGCTCAAGTTTAAAATTGATAAGCACATGAAAATAACTTGCTCATTTTATTTCCCTTTTGTATAAATATCACCATATCAAAAGTAGACGGAAGCAGTGTGTATTTTTAATGTCTTAGTTTCTGAGTGTTGCTAAAATGATTGGTACCTCATGAAATTTGCTGTGGGCTCTCACATCGTCTCAGTACAGTGCCCATGCTTTCAGTTATTAGTGCTCCATACCAAACTCTTTTAAGTGGTTTTACTCCAGATTTCTGTTGGTGCAACTGAATGACAACTAGCACAAGTGTTTTTATGAAGTCTTCCCATCACAGTTTTCATCTTTATAACTTGCCAGTCTCTGCTAATGCCTCTGGTGGGCTACCACTGCTTTTTTCTTTGGAAATTTCTTTGGAAATAAAAAAGTCCCCAAACACCCAGCTCCAGAGACACTATAATAACTGCTGATTTATTGGGTCTGAATTTCAGGCATTGGTAGAGCAAAATTTTCTTGCTTAAGGTCAGCCTGTGGGCTGATAAAAGGAAAGGAATAGACATAATTGTTTCAGTCATGAACAGCGGCATTGAAAACTTACTAAAATTTAGCCCTACTGCTTGGAGAAGAATTGTTGTGGTGGTCTAAACGTTTTATTAGGGCACAAAGCATCTGTGGAGAAGGAGATTTATTAGCTCAGTCCTTTCTCATTGCATCATGCTCGCACACTATCACTAGAGAAAGAGTTTTGGCTTACAATGAATCTGTCTGCTGGATGAAATAGGAAATTTGGGATGGGGTGTATGTACTACACTCTGGAATGAGGACTGTATTCCTGGTTCTACTACTAACTTCAGTCAGCCACCTGACTTTTGAATGTTTGTTTTTCTTTTATATAGGCTTTCCTTTTACATCAGGGTTATGTGCTAACTTAATCAGAATATTCTTTTTAATGTACATCTGTTAATAGTAGTGAAACATTGGGGTGCTATAAAGTACCATGATATTGAGAGCTGCACTTGCATCCAACCAAA